CGCACAGGCGGGGGGGGGGGCGGACGTCCCCAACATGACTTCATCACGTCGGGGATGCGCCGCCCCCTCCAGGAACGCCCCCAAAGTCCCCCGCTGGGGGTGGAAGATGGACTTGGCAACCCTAACTGCCAAGTCCCTCCCCTTATTCCTTCCCCTTGCTGCTTGCATTGTTCCAGTACAGCAAAACTCCTGTTTCAGAGTCTGTCTAGCAATTTGGTTACAGCCCATCCCTATTCTAACACATGCCATGGGAACAGCCCAGCTGCTCAAGAATAACTGAATGCTTGAGAATACAGGGGGGAGACTAAATATGATGGAAGATGCTTTCTTATAAGCCTTGGGAACCATAATGTCCATTTACCACCAGAGTATCTTGTAATGCAGCCATCTCAGACCAGGGCATTGTTTGCAGGGCTGCGAAATTGACTTTGGCTCAGGCCTGACAAAAATTTCATAATAGAGGGAACAGCAAGATTTCTTGCTGGGCCTATGGGCGAAGCTGAGTGTTGGATTGTACATGTAAAGAAATCTGCTCATTCAGTAACTTAAAAATATTAGCTAGGACTTGGGTGTTGGCTCTCATGCCACATTAAGTACAGCAGTCAGAACCAGGAGAGCACAGTAAAAATATACAGAACCTTGCATATTGTTAACGTGTGTTAGTGGAAAGCTTTTGTAATGGGCACTTCTCTTCAGGAGCCTCAGTCACTAGAAAGCATTCCTCTGAAATTAGAGTGGTTATATTTTGTGCACACACTTAGTTAAAAGATGTACTTCAGAAATATCTACCTTGAGTAAACAGTGAAGGCTGCTGTTCCTGTTACTATTAGGTCATTCCTCTTAAGGCTTTTGAAAGACCTTACCCTGCTATGTTTGCTGAATGTCGGAGCATTTGATAGAAAGCCACATGTAACCTTGATTAACAGGGTTTTGATTGGAGGGAGGCTCCCTAACATGCCTGATCGATAGTTATGAATCAAGAATCTTTGACTGCCAGTCTTCAAATCCTTGGGTAACAATAACAGCCTTACAAGTGCTAATGCAATAGAGGTCTGGAAATCATTTATTTTAGGGTGTTATGGAAACCTGGCATTTTTTCTTCCTTTGTTTTTGCAGGTCGTGATGGCACTACTCAAATACTGGCCAAAGACTCACAGTCCAAAAGAAGTTATGTTTTTAAATGAATTAGAAGAAATTTTAGATGTTATCGAACCGTCTGAATTTGTAAAGGTTATGGAACCTCTCTTCAGGCAGCTAGCCAAGTGTGTCTCCAGTCCACACTTTCAGGTTGGTAACTCTAGGAAATGCAGTAATTAAGTTTGGCATCCTCACATTACACTACATTAATTGCTCCTTCTTCGATTTGTGACACAAAATTTACTAAACTTCGGTCTACTGCGAGGTACAATATTTCAGGCAACAAAGGAATAATCTCATCTGTGTGAGTTTGAGCTTTACATAGGTTAATAAGTTAGGCTTTTTATCACTCCTGTGAGCTCCAGGCACACATTAGTGGCAACCGCAGCAGCTTTCCCACAGTTACCAGCTAGGGAGACTACAGGGGGGAATCACTGCTAAAATGGAAGCCAGGCCCTCTCTGGTTCGTGAGAAGGAATACCGTAGGAGGCCTGTGGTCTGCTCAAGTTGCACAAATGTTCCTCTTTCTTTTAGGTGGCAGAACGAGCACTGTACTACTGGAATAATGAATATATTATGAGCTTAATCAGTGACAATGCAGCAAAGATTTTGCCCATCATGTTTCCATCCTTGTACCGGAATTCAAAGACACACTGGAACAAGTAAGGAACTGTCATAGTACATTGCTTGATCCCCTGAAGTCTAATTCTGCATGGCTGCTATTCCAAGTGGAGGCTGTGGCCCCAGGAATCAACTTTCCCCAGGGCTGGAAGGGATCATGGGAAAGGTCTGTGATCCTTGTGCCAGTAGATCACTGGGTCCAATGCATCATTAATTAGTAAGACAAACCATTATCTGTGGAAGACTAACTTTGGTGGTGAAATTTTAAACCATAATGTCCTGTTGAAATTCTATGGTGATAGTACTGAGATGTACATTTTTCCTTTTCTTCATATCTGTTTTGTTTTTTCTTCTTTCTTCATATATGCATCTTATTTCCTGTCATCTACTAGTTTAGAATTTTTATGTCTAAAGAAACTGATGCTTGAGCTGCTGTGAGGAATACTTGTTTCATTGGTTGCTCTGAAACATGGCACTAGTTGTAGACTTGAGGATTATTGATGGGGGTGGCCAAGGCTGTATGACAAATCTTCCACTTCAGCACAATGAAAGAAAATCCTGAGTAAATGGCATTAAGTGCTGATGTACATTAACTGGATGCAGTTAATCTATCAATGTATTGATATCAAGTTCTTTTTTTTAAAAAAAAAAGTACTTTAAAGAGCATTTTAACTGTAGCCCTTTTATTTTAAAAAAACATACACAGCGTATGGATTATTTTGTTCACTATTTATGGACATCCAATCATTTTGCACTAAGCACTGTACATATATAGTTCAGCACACTTTCTCATTTTAACGTGCATGGTGGAAGTAGCTGTTGAACAGGTTTGTCTTTCCGATCTGATGAAGGTTGAAGGGAAGAGCTTTTTCTTCTCTTTTTTCCCCTTCTCTTTTTTTATGCCTGTTTCTAACTGGCTAAATTGGCTTCAGTTCTGAGCTAATGGGTGACCAATTTTTTCCCCCAACAACAGTTATTTCTTGTGCAGGCTATTTTAGTTTTGCTCAGGAGACATTTGGCTCAACAGATAGTATAAGTATAACCAGGGGTCATTTTGTAGAAAAGGAGCTGCAGGAGCTCATTAGCATATCTAGTAGGCTAAAAGAGCCCCAAGCGCTTTAACCTTTCTTCATAGGGAAAGTGTTCCAACCCTTTTATCATTCTAGTTGCCCTTTTCTGCACTTTCCCCAACACTATAATATCCTTTTTGAGGTGTGGTCCCCTTCCCTTCCCCAGCTCTCTTCACTCCCCTTCTCTCTTCACTCCCTCCCAGCCTGCCTTGGCAGGCCGGCTGGGGAAGGGAAGGAGAGGCTTTTGAAGATGCCTCCCCCCTTTCTTTGCTTCCCCGGCTGCCCTGCTTCTGGAGCCCCCCTGCCCTCTCCTGGCTCACCTGTCTCGGTGGGCGAGCCAGGAAGGGCTGGGGAGAGAGTGGGGAGACATTTAAATGCCTCCTCGTGCCTTCCTCGGCTTGTCCGCCCAAGCAGGCGATCTGAGGAAGGCTCCTAGAGGCCCCCCTGCCCTCTCCTGGCTCACCTGCCTGGCGGGCGAGCCAGGAAGGGCCGGGGAGAGAGCAGGGAGACATTTAAATGCCTCCCCGTGCCTTCCTCTGCTCGTCTGCCCAACGGGCGAGCCGAGGAAGGCTCCTAGAGCCCACCCCTGCCCTCTCCTGGCTCACCTGCCTGGCAGGCGAGCCAGGAAGAGCTGTGGAGAGAGCAGGGAGACATTTAAAGTTTAAGCCCCTTCTCTGTTGAGTTGCACCGCAACGGCGGTGTGATGTTTCCATTATATTCTATGGCTCCATAGAATATAATGGAAAGATATGGTGCAACTCTAGAAAAAAGGGTGTGGGGCTGCCGGGGTGGGGCTCCGGCCCAAAATGACCCCTGAGTATAACCCTGTTGCATAATTTTTGTGTAGTGGTGGTGGAAAGTGCCATCATGTCCAAGCTGATTTATGGCGACCCTGCAGGGTTTTCAAAGCAAGAGATATTCAGGAGGGGTTTGTCATTGCCTGTCTTTGCGTCATGACTCTGGTATTCCTTGGAGGTCTCCCTTCCAAATATTAGCCAGGGCCAACCCCGCTTAGCTTCCGAGATCTGACAAGATTGGGCTATCCAGATATGAGATACTTTACTTTAAATAAGTTAAAATATAGTTTTTAGTGTATTACCAGCATAATTATCCTTTGCAAAAAAAAACCCACTTCTGTTACTATGTGATGTTTGTTAACATTAATTTATCAAAATTCACTTTCTTGCCTGTTAACATTGTAAACAAAAAGGAGAAGGAGATCTTTATAGCATCTAAACAATCCATATAGTCTAGGATTATTAGTATTTGTATTAGTCATTCTTTGGCAGAAGAGGGCTTTTTCTAAAATACCACCATTTTCAGTGAAATAACGGAACTGCCTTTGTAGACTTTGTAATAAGTCTCAACCCCATTTTTTTCACTTGTAGGACAATACATGGTTTGATTTACAATGCTCTGAAACTCTTCATGGAAATGAACCAAAAACTGTTTGATGATTGCACACAGCAATTTAAAGCAGAAAAACTTAAGTAAGTTTCCTCTTACATGTTCTCTGTCTGATCTTTTTTAAAATGCATATATGGGAAACACTACTGACTTTTTGAGAGTGCACTTTATAGCACCCTGAAAATACATCCGAAAGCTGCTATAGTTATTGTTTTATATACCACTACTCTATAGATTCAGAGAGAGAGAGAGGGAGAGTGTCATAGTGGGTAGAGACCTAAGTCCAAATTCCCACTTACCATGAAACTCACTTGGGGACCTTGGGCCTGTCGCTCCTCTCTCAGCCTCACCAACCTCTCCAGGTCATTGTGAGGATAAAAAAGAAGGCAGGGATAGAACCGTATAGGCTGTCTTAGGTTTCTTGGACCAAGGGCAAGATAAAAATACACTACATAAGTAAAAATCACAGTTTTGACTTTGTCCATCCTCCAAGTTCCACTGAGAGGAGAATGGCATATTTGGGCTAAGGGGATCAAGGCTTGCTTAAAACTGCCTAGATGATCCATGATTCAGAAGATATTGGGGCCCAAATCTCTTGAGTCGAAACCGGATAGAGTCCTCAGCACCAGACTGGCTCCTTGTCTGTCTGAATGTGTTGAATGTCTATACCTCTGCTCAATAGAAAGCACTCTGTCTGCAAGATTTCACATAACAGACTTTTGCAGTAAGGAAAAATTGGGTAAGGTTTTATTTTGTAAATGTTAGGTTTCTACAGTATGCTGTTTGGACAGATACCAGAAATCAAATAAAAGAGAACAGAGGCTGACACTGAAAATTTTGTCCCTGTCCTAAATCCCACGGTTCCATAAACCATTTGCCCAGGACGTTTTTGTAGTTGTGTGTGTGTGTGAGAGAGAGGGGGGGGTACCATAGCAATATTCCCTCATTCATCAGCAGGGAATTGTTGCCAAGGCTATCTGAGTTGGCCTCTCCAAACTTAGAAGGACTTGGGGTAAGCAGTTGGTACAGTAAAGAGGGTGAGGAGGACACCATGGCTTCTTGTCCATGAGCCACCTTAATAACCACCCAGAAGCAAAGCTTTTCAGAGGTCAGAAGGGACTGCTGGAGGAAAGCAAGGAATAACTGCCTCTGCAAACACTTGCATTTCATAAGATCCAGCCCCATATTTACAAAGCAATATGAATTAATCACATTAGCAGTTTGCATGTAACTCTTATTCCTTTTTTGTCATCCTAAAATAAAAGGAAGCAACAGCTTTTAGCTTTCAAGTGGAATTCTAAATAGTGAGATTGAGCCAGGCCCATGAACCTTTTTTAAAAAAACGAGTAATTCAGTAAAGGAGGCCAAGCATTCTATGAATTTGGGCTCTTAACTTTAAAGCTTTTTACAATGCCTTCCGGTCATGTAAGAGATATAGAGATTTCTGCCACTACTTTATTTTATTAAAATACACCATTTATTGAAAGACACACCTTTCCCTGAGTTCAAAACAGTTTCAAGTAGTATTCTGCAAAAATGACTACAAAATAGGAAGTAACAGCCAAAAACACCCAAACAACCTTTTCTTCTAGCATAAGGAACTTCTTCCAATGGGGGAAAGGGTGTATGTACATTTTGTGCCAATTCCTCCAGCCTTCTTACTGTAGCTTTCCAGTTCACTGCTAAGCTGTTCCTAAAGATACCCCAGAAGTGGCACTTCCGGGATCTCAGTGGCCTGAGGAGTGAGGGCCTGTTGGTGGAGCTCTGCTGAGGATATTTTGGATCCAATCCATTGCTTTTGCTGTCAGCTGCCTTGTAAAAAGCCAAATCATGAGATAAATGCAAAAGTCAAATAAAATCACATTTTCAAGGTGATCTGTGATCATCAGTAGGAATTTACAGGGTTTTTCCCCTTGACGTTGAGACTGTAAAGCATTTGGGTATCACATCTTTAACTGTACCTATAATGCATTTTACAACAGGGTGACTAGATGAGCATAGTAACAATATCTGTGACATCTTATTTTCATTTCAGTAGAAAGTTGTACAGAAAAGGCTTCATAAGAAAATTGGGGGAGGTGGGTCGTGTGTCTATTACGCTTTCACTATGAAAAATATCTTTCTTTATATGCACAGTTTTTAAAAGGTAAGGAGAAGTTACTTTGCTTTCTAATGTTTATGGAAGTTTGGTAACATAATCTTTTGAAGGGGAAACTTCATTAAGCTTTAATCTGTGTGTGGGGCGTATGTGTATTGTTTTTCAGAGAGAAGCTAAAAATGAAGGATCGGGAAGAAGCATGGGTTAAAATAGAAAATCTAGCCAAATCAAACCCGCAGGTATATGGAAAATATTCAGAGGTTGAGTATTTCAGCTTTTTTCTAAATACCGCTGCAAGATTAGGGGTCATAACAGATGTTACATTTTCCATACTCATTTTAAGCATGCAAGGAGTCTAGTAGAATATGGATCAAGAAATGTGCTTTTTAATGGATTACACAGATCATGTTTTTCATTTTCACTTTTAAATTTCTTCTCTTAGTCATTTCTCTATAAAATGGGTCCAAAGTGGCTTACATCAACATAAAAACATAAAGGTAGATTATGAGCAAATCTGTACAACAAGTAAGATAATAGGGTAAAAGTATATTAAAACAACTTGAATTGGCAGTTAAACAGTGCAATAAAAGTGTCTCTGCAAAGACAGTACAGGCAGAACATATACCGTATATACTCGAGTATAAGCCGACCCGAGTATAAGCCGAGACTCCTAATTTTACCACAAAAAACTGGGGAAAAGTATTGACTCGAGTATAAGCCTAGGGTGGGAAATGCGAAATGCAGCAGCTACTGGTAAATTTCATAAATAATAGATACGTCCGCCTCGGTCTCCTCTCTCTGACGTCACTGGTTGCTAGACGCCAATCAGCAGGCGATCTAGCAACCAGTGGAGGCGAGGCGGGCATCGGCGGCTTCTAGTGTTCTGCTGAGCGGAGGAGGTCTTTTAACTCCGCTGTTATTATTGGCACGTCAGTCTCCGCTCTCCTCTCTCTTACGTCACTGGTTGCTAGACGCCAGTCGGGAGGCGATCTAGCAACCAGTTTAGGCGGGCGGGCTGCAGTGACTAGATCAGTTTAGGCAGGCGGGCTGCAGTGACTACAGGCTGATATCTGGCTGCGGAGCGGCGGCATTTTCTGGGGTCATTTTTTTTCTCACTCGAGTATAAGCCGAGGGGGTGCTTTTTCAGCACAAAAAATGTGCTGAAAAAGTCGGCTTATACTCGAGTATATACGGTATTACGAAAACCGGTTAAACAAAATGTGTGGGAAAAGGGCTAAATTTTCACCTGGCATTTAAAAGGTTAGATGGATAGCTTTGGAGAGTACACTCCATGTGATGATATCAAATCTCACACAGTAGCCTGGTTGTTAGTGACCTTTATTACATGGCTAGTTAATACAAAATGGACCTTTCATCACCAAAGAGCAGTAGCTGCATTAAGAGAAGAACATGCTGATTATGAGAGTTGCTTTTGTTGGGGGATTGGGTTGTTAACAATTCACCCAAGATCACACCTTTTACCCAGTAGCTCTGTTCACGTTACAGTGAAGCACATGCATCATGTATGTACATGCGTATATCTGTAAGAAAAAGCTAATGCATGTACACGTCACAAATGAAATGGAAGGGCCAGTACCTGGATACATGCATGGTTCCATTCACATATTCAGCTTTACGTGCATTGACTGTAATATCAGAATTACTCTATGCATATGTAAAGACAGTTCAAGTGTACACAGATTGTACATACATTGACTGCATTGACTAACCCTGACTCCAGTGAAGCTTTCCAGGAACCTTGTGAATTACCTGTTTTGCATTTGACTCTTCAGATACTACAAAGAAATGCTATAGCTATTTCTGGCTACTTCCTCAGATTTGTACCGCACATATGAGATGCTGCTGTCTTATACAGAATCAAATCATTGGGCCATCAAGATCAGTACTGTCTACTGGCAGCAGCTTTCTGGGATCTCAGGTGGTGTGAAAGACCTGTGCCTATTACCTGATCCTTTTAAATCAGTGGTTCTCAAACTTTTTCTGGTCACCGCCCTCTTGGTTCCATAAACTCATCCCAATGCTCCCTACCTTATAAAAAGCACTTTTCAGAATAGAAGAAGAGATTGGATTTATAACCTGTCCTTCACTCAGAGTCTCAGAGTGGCTTACAATTTCCCTTCCCCTCTGCACAACAGACACCCTGTGAGGTAGGTGGGGCTGAAAGAGCTCTTCCAGGAACTGCTCTGGAGACAACAGCTCTGAAAGAACTTGTAGCTGACCCAAGGTCACATCAGCAGCTGCATGTGGAGGAGTGGGGAATCAAACCTGGTTCTCCCAGGTTAGAGTCTGTGCTCCTAACCATGGCTCTTAGTGGTTTGCATTACCCACTAAGGAAGATAATGTCAGTAAAATTCAAAACAGTAATAGTTAATTGGACATTTGTGCAAAATCCAATTAAAGCTTTTTTGTTTAATTTATTCAACAAAGTTGAACTTGATGCAGTGATACCAGCTTTTCAAACTCTGATAGCCATTTAGCAAGAATCTTAGATACCACATTTAGTAACTACTTCACTGTTCAGTAAACTCTTAGTGCAGGGGATGGGCTTGATGAAGTGATACCAGTTTCGCAATGTCTGGTTTATAAAGTCACTTAAGCAGGAGTCTTAAACTACCACATTTAATAATCCAGAGTCAACTTCTTTGCTTGGAGAGAAGTTGGATGACTGCACTAAAGCCATGTTCTTCCCAATATGATGTTGGAAATGCAACAAGGAGCTTCGTAAATGCTGTCCATAGTGCAGGATAGCTATCAGAAATTTCCTTCTGTAACCAAACCTCTTGGTATGATTTCTTAAACTTTGGCTTCAGCTCAAAGTAATTTTGTAGCTTAGTTAGTTCTTCCTCCACTACCCCAGCTTCCTTAATATCTGAAAATAAATAATTTCCGGTAATCAGATTACAAATTATGCTGTGTATATATAAATATTGGGAGAAAAATTGGGTATATTTTGGGGGAATCAGTGTACAAAATTGCTACATAATTAAAAGCTTCATAAAATCCATTCACCCATAAAATAATGCTTGACTGGGAGTATGTGTTTCCATGTCTGAAAATACAAAACATCGATGGACAGAAGTGAATGGTATACCTAGTAAAGAAAAACGTTATAATTGCAATAAGACAACCTTTATGGAACTTTCGTGATGTAATCTCAGTTGTGAAAATTTTGCTGAAGTGAAAAAGTGTATCCACTCATGCAATATAGATATTTAAAACCGAAGATATTTGACCAATTATTAATAATATTAATTTGGGGAAAGTAAAAGGTCTTGGAATAACAAGAAAAAATAAGAAAAATAATGGCTTGAATTTAAAGGAATAAAGATGATTTTAATTTATTGACTCCTTTTAATACTTTTATTTTTTCTTTCATTTTATTCTGCAATTCCAAATAAAAACAGTTATATTCTCTTTATAAAGGGTTGTCTAATTTTTTTTTGCTGTCAATATACCCAAATCCCCCCCACACACACTATTTATATTTGTTTACCATAATTTTTTCTCTTATTACTGGAATGTTTTGCTATTTGTACCCTAAATTCCCCCAGTTACCCAAATTTTTCCTTCTACCCCACCTAATTTTTTCTTTTAAAAGTTTTTTTTCATTTTACTGAGAATTTTAAATCCTTATATAACCTAGAAATACTAATACTGAGCTGACGGTGATAAAAAATAACACTTAGATAGCTAAAAAGCATACTTCATAATCAACAGGTACAGTAATCAAGAACACAGGAAAATAAATACCACACTCAATACTATTATGTTAAGGACTTGCCAGCAAAAGCTTGTAAAATACCAAAGAAACAAAAACACATGATGACAACAGTTTCTCAAAATGCAGTATACTGCTCTGACTAGAGCTCTGATGGTGTATTTACTAAAAATTCAAATAGTTTCCACCAGATTTCAGCACTGTGCAGAGGCAAAAACTTGGTGTGCCATTTGTAAGCATGGTGCCAAAGCCTAGTCAAGCATAAATAAGGTAAAAACATGGTCAAAGGGGCCCACCTTTAGTGCCCCCACTGCCTCCTTGCCTCTAGTATTTCCCCAAGGTATCCCACCACCCCAGAGGGCAGCACTGCCCGCTTTGGGTACTACTGTTTTAAATGAGATTCTGGGGGTTATATCTGGGTCATTCTTCATGCCAAGCAAATATTCTACCACTGAGCCATAGCCCCTCCCCATTAATGAAATGTAATGTTGGATTTGGCTATATAATAATCGGTTCCAATGGTGATTTAAAAACATTAATGTGCAAATTGTACTTTGGCAGATTTCTAATGAGCCACCTTTTTCTTTATGCATGTTTTTGTACATAAGTACTCATGAAAACAATTGTTGAAATTATTTCCCATACAGACTATCCCCAGTTCTAAGAAAATGTAGTCAGCACTGGAAATGTATTGTCTCTTGGAAGCACAACATTTTTAAGCTAAATGAATTATAACTGTGTGATAATTCTTTTATAATACTAGAAATTTTAAAACATTTTGAAATTGCAGATTGCTGAGAATTGTTAGAAAACCTTATTTTGATAGAACTAAAATTCTTAGAGATCCTTATTTAGGAGCTATAATACTTAAACATGTTTGCAGTCTTGTTTAAATGTGTATCTTGGACATACCACCTGTTGTAACATACAGCTTTTTTGTTGTTGCTGAATGTCAGCCAGATTCCATGTTAATCTTCAAGCAGTATTTTAAGACAGATAGGTCTTTGGTGTATTGCAGATGTTCTTCTTTTCACTGTATCAACTGGCAGGATTCTTTTGGCATTATAATTCCTCCAAGGCTTTCCAAAAGCAAAACATTCCTAGTTGCTCCTTATACTAGAAAGTAGGTAAACCCTGGCATGCATTCAAAATGGAAGGCACCAGACCATTTTGCTCAGCATGCAGGACTAGTTCTCTGCCCAAGCAACCAAGAGAAGTTTCCTAAAGTGCTGACAGCACACTGGGCCCAGCAGCATGAAAGAAGGCAAAGGGGCATGCTGCCCCTTTCCAGACCCGCACGGCCCCCAGGTGGGTCTGGGGTAGGGATGCCAGTCTTCAAGTGGGACCTGAGGATCCCCTGGAATTACAGCTCATCTCCAGACTACAGAGATCAGGTTCCCTGGAGAAAATGGATTCTTTGGAAGATGGACTCTCCAGGCTCCATCCCCAAATCTCCAGGAGTTTCCTAACCTGGAGCTGGCAACCCTATTCCCCCATCCCCCATCAATGGCCAGGAGAGACCTGGCAACCCCAGTCTTGGGTGACTCTGGAAGGGGAGGTAGTACTGCTTGGTCTCAACTTGCTTCCAGCACTCAGGCTAAAAATGCAGCCTTTCCCTGCCATATGCAGTGAAAGAACCTGGGATTAGATGCTTGCATTAGAATCTGTTCCTTTATTGAATTCTGTTTTAAGTGTATGGAAAACATTTTAGATGAAAGCAGAAGTTTTAATTCTGCTGTTTGGTAATGGTTCTCAAGATCTGCAATTCTTAAAACTGCCACAGAAGAATCTCTCCTTATATATAATTGAATATTCCTCTAACATTTTTCTTCACTTGGGGAGGATCCAGGGATACCCTTCAGCTCACAGAAAGGAAACCTCCAAAGGAGGAAGGTTTCTACTGTAAGCAAAAGGGCACTTTGGAACCTAGTCCATAATCTCATTCCACTGTTGGGCCAGAGCAAAAACTCAGCATGCTGAACTTTTAATCCAAGCATGTCTCTTGTTGCCATCATTTTTGTGAACATGATTGCTTTTGCTTTTTTGTCAAATGTCAAGGGTTAGCAGTCACCTCTGTGTGAAGGTGACACTAATTCGGTTAGTTGGGATCCAAAATGCTATTTAAGGGTTTGCATGGACCCAGTGGGATTTCTTACATTTTATTTTTAGCGTGTTCCGATAACATGCTACAATCTATTTTTGAAAACCTCCTTAATTTCCAAATGACCAGCATTTGGGGGGGAGGGGCTGCATTTGAGCAACGCAAGTTCTAAAATAAGCAGCAAAAGCAGTTGCATGGTTCCTTGGATACTGGTTACATCATGCATTTTTTAAAAGCCCCAAAACATTCAGTTCCATGTTTCTGTTGCAGGGAGGAGAAACTAACCATTAGTAGTTTCCCTCTTAAAACAAATTTCTTTGTTTTTGTCAGGAAGTGTTTTATAGCTTAATTGGATTTCAGTATGCTGTTTTGATAGCAGCTGCCAAATCTCCAGTTCTTCAAGAAACTCAGGTGAAGACATTCCATTGTTTTGGTTGGAAGCTAAAATGCCCTGTATATTAAAAGTGAATACATTGCTGTTTATCAAATCTGAGGTTAACATTTCTGGCATTCAAGTTCCTGAATTGCTATAGTTCTTAGGTTTTACTACCGAAAATTCTGACTCGAACATTTTGCATTTGGTTAGTACTCAGTATATAGTGAAACATGTCTGGTGACCAGTCCTGTTGCAATGGAAACTGATGGGCCTTTAATTGAAGACTTGCAGGTGCTGAAAAACACAGTGAAAGACGAAGCTTGTATGGTAAGCACACAGGAAGAAAAATTAACCTACTTATTGTGAACTTGATTCGGTAGTGTGAATGCATTTTAGCTATCCATTCCTCCTTAGATGGCAACAGAAATTTGAAACTATTTTAGTGGCTACAGTATGGTCCCATCATAAATGTGAACAATAAGTGTTGTCTCATCTTGTGTGCATTAAATACCTTCAGAACCGTTCAAATTATTTGCACCGGAGAAGCGGTTGTCCAAAGCCTATAATGATAGGCCGTGCTTAGACTGTTTAATGAAAGTTGTTCATTGGTGCTCATATTTGAAGGATCTCCTTGGCCCACTGTTACACTCAGTTTCCTAACCATGAGGCTTTTTTGGCCATGTTCTCTATCAAGAGAGGCTCTAAACAATTACTGTCAAAAGCCACGCTGAGAACTGTTTGCCTTTGGATAGTATTCATAATCTTTGGGCTGTGAACACTATCATTGTGTATAAAAATAGGTTGTAAAATTGGGCAGTAGTAAATTTTGGTTAGAGGCTTAGTTGTGAAGTGGGAACTATACTGGCTTAATAACATATTTATTAATTAATTAAATTCAATTTATTAGGCCGCCCTTCCCTGCAAGCAGGGGTCAGGGCAGCTTACATCACAAGGCAAATCCAACTATGATCTTTCTAGCACCACATGCACACATGGAGACAGAAAATGAGACAGAAAATTATCTGGCTGTCCTTCCTCCCCTTCCAGTCCAGTCCTGGATTGTACTGGTCTGGTCTGATAGCATGTATATGCATATTTGGGGCCATAAATATTCCCTGAGCAATAATGACCAAGCAGGAGTGCAAATAATTGTTCAAGAACCAGTTGCTCATCCTCACTTTCACCTCATCCATTCTGCTTTTCCCTCCCTCGTTTCTGACATTGGCAGACTACCTGAAGTTGATTCCCTGACACCC